TTTGGTATTTAAAAAGACAACACAATTTGAAGTTCATAACTTTGATCCCCAAACCCAAGTCTAAGAATGCGTTGTTCTGCTTAATAGAGGGCTTATATCAGTGCCCAGCACTTTATAAGTGCTTGGGGAATTTTTTGAGACAGGGTCTCCCTGTAGCCCCAGCTGTCCTGGAACTCACTATGTAGACCAGGCTGGCCTTGAACTCACAGAGATCCTGCCTGCCTCTGCTTCCCGAGTGCTGGGATTAAAGACATGCGCCACCACGCCCAGCTTATTCATTATTTTTATTTTATGTGTATGAGTGTATTGCCTGTTTGTGAGTGCACTCGTGTCGTGCAAAGCCAGCAGAGGTCAGAAGAGGGCACTGAATCCCCCAGAACTGGAGTTACAGACCGTTGTTAGCTGCCATGTGGGTGTTGGAGTTTGAACCCAGGTCTTCTGCAAGAACAGCCAGTGTTCTTAACCCCTGAGCCATCTCTCCAGCCTGCTTGGGGAAATTAAAAAAAAATAATAACCCCAAGCAGTAGAAAAGGCCTCAGCATATTCTATCAAAGTTCAGAAAAGGAGCCAAGTGAAGTACTGCATACCTGTGGTCCCAGAAGTTTGGAAGACTAAAGCAGAAGAATCATTTGAGCCCAAAAGTTCAAGACCAGCCTAGGGCAACATACAAAGCAAGACCTTTTCTCAAACTAAAACTCAGTAAGTCCCAGAATTCTCAGAGGACAGAATTCCCAGATGGTTTCTCCTTGGGCCTGACCTCTACAGGAGAAAGCTACCCAGGGACAGAGGTTCTGCCTTCCTAGATGTCCTGCCAAGGTAGCCATTCAGACCAGTGAAACTGGATTAAGCAGATGAATTAGCATTGACACCATGGAGGCATTTTCTTCCTCTGGGCAATTTTCATTCATTTATTTAATAAACATTTAATGAGCACTTATTACATGAAGTACAATCCTATCCTAAAGATAACAAGGCAAAACTCCTTTCCTCATAGTCCTCTCTAAACTGGTATTTCAATGAAACAAGCAAAAAAACAAAAACACTAAAAAATTCAGAAATAGAATCTACAAAGGGCTGTGCCCTAGTTTCATTTCCATTGCTGTGATTAAAAATATCCTGACAATGGGGGCTGGACAGATGGCTCAGCAGTTAAGAGCACTGGCTGCTCTTGCAGAGGATCCGGATTCGATTCCCAGCACCCACATGGTGGCTATAAACTGTCCTTAACTCCAGTTCCAGGGGACTCTGAAGCCCTCTTCTGATCTCTGCGGCATTGCATGACATGGGTACACTCACATACATGCGGGCAATACACTCGTACACATAAAATAAAAATAATAAATGAAATAGTTAAAAAAAAAATCCTGACAAAAAGTCACCTAGGGCAAAGGGGCTTTATTTTGGCTTACAATTCCAGGTGACAGTCCGTCAAGGCAGAAACTTGAAAACAGCTGGTCGCTTTATATCCACAGTCAAAAACAGAGAGAAATGGACACACACATGCTCGCTCGCTCACTTTGCTCAGCTATTTAATCACTCTTGTACAGTTCAGAATGCCCTGCCTAGGGAATGGTGCTGCCATGGTAGGCCATGTCTTCCCACATCGATGGACTTAAGACACGTCCCCATAGACATGCCCACAGGTCTACCCAATGCAGGCAATTCCTCAATGAAGCTCTTCCTAGGTGATTCTAGGTTGGTCAAGTTGACAATTAAAGTTAACTGGCACAGGCTGTGCTTAGGAGGAAGCGGTGCCTAATCACTGAAGGAAGCCAAGAGGCCTTCCGGGAGGAGAAGCATAACTTAAACACGAAAGTCAGCCAGAGGAAGCAGGGGAAAAGGCCAAACAAAGGAGGGGAGGCAGGGCGCAGCTGCCAGCAATGTGGGATGAACAAATAAAATCAGGTAGATTCATTTCACTAAAGGCTCTAGAGGGGCCTCAGAGAAGTCCAAGAATGGCACACTGCAAATGGGGGGTGGGGGGTGGGGGGTGGAAACGACACCACGGACAACACGACCCTCCTCCCCCAGGCAATCACCTCCTGTTTCTGCTTCCCGTGTGGCTAAGAAATGTGTCTCCTCATCCCAGGAGAAGGCCAGTGATACAGACCTGTCTAGCCATGGAACCTCTTCACTCCACAGTGATGAATTTACAATACTAGGAGAGAGTTCACTGTAAAGTCATCGCCTTTGGGCAGCAGTAGTCTTAGTCTTTTCAGCATAGAGGAATGAACAATAAACCAAAAGAGTATAGAAAAAGACCAGGTCCAGAGTTCTTATGGCCTCACTTCAGCCCCAAGATCTGGCCATGCCTGATGTTCACCTTTGGACTGTGGATTTAAATGATCAAAGGAGGAAACCTCTTTTACTGAAATAAGCTTATATTGGGTCCCCACGATTTGCAACTAGAGTAACACACCCTCTGTTGGGGAAAGAACTTTGCTTTATGTGCATGGCAGGGGTACAGACAGAAAGAGGGCAGGTATCAGAGAGTCTCTCCCATTGTGTCTGATAAAGATGTGAAATAGGCAATTTTCAGGCTTGTGAGGAAGCACAGAAAGAACTTGAGCTCATTGGGTGGAAGAATGAAGGGATAAGTGTCTAAACCACAGTCTAGAATGGATGAGTTACATGAACCTAACAGCCAACTATATAGCCCTAAGTCATATTGAAAGACAGAGTGACATACAATAGCTCGTTAAAAACATCAAGAAAGCTGGGACTGGTAGCTTAGGCCTGTAATTCTAGCTACTCAGGAGGCTGAGGCAAGAAGATGGTGCGTTCAAGACCAGCCTGAACAACTTGGAGACCCATTCTCAAAATAAAAAGTGAAGAGACTGAGAATATAGCTCAATGGTAGAGTGCACCCCTAGCATGTGTGAGGGCCTAGGTTCAAGCCCCAGTACTACAAAAAATAATACAAAAACAGCAGAAATGCCATGTTTAAAGCTAGTTCTAGTCCCACATTAATGCACATCAGTCATAGATCTCTTCCCAACACTTACTTTTTAGAGAAAATATTTTGAACTCTTTATCCTTGATGCCAAATAATCAGCTGATGCTCTCGAGAAAACTTAATTCAAGCAGCTGTACCCATTAAGATCCAAATCTACCAGATGATATAGCAAAACAAATTGCTATAGCTCAAGAGATCACTGCCAAAGCCCCAAAGCTTGGATTCTGTTAGTCACATATTTTTAAAAACTCTAATCAGTTGGTCACAGATAATAATACCAACTTTGGTCTAAAAGAGAGCCTCAAATCTTTAAATCCCATGTTACGTTGTGTTGGAATTTAAAAATAGGAAGCTTAAGGCAGCTCTGTGGAGTAAGCACTGGGTCTCCTGGCAGGAATAACAGTGCCTCATGTATTTTTTTTCTTCTTTCTACAAGCAATTACCAAATACTTACCGTATGCCCAGGATTCCAGTACTGTATGTATGTCCAGGATGCCAGTACTACATATATGCCCAAGCCCATGCACCTTCCCTCTTTTCTTGGCAAAAAGGCCAAATCTTGTGCTGTTCACATCTGGACAGCACTGAGTAGGATGTAAAATAAAAGATCATTTGAACAATTAGATGCTGTTCTTACAGTAATTATGGCCTTCTAAGCTCAGCCCATGTCTCCCTTCCCCCACCCTATCACCTTCACATTGCCAGGACACTAGTCACCAGGAAGGATTAAGACCCAAACCATACAGCCTGAAGGTCTGGCTTCAAGTTCCAGCTCTGCAACTAATGTTAGACCCCTGGTCAATACTCACTTTCTGGAAAATGGAGTGACATTTATTGCACTAGGCTGTTAGAGGGCTTAAATAAATCAGTATATGTAAAGTACCTGACACACAGCATCAGGAACAAACGCTCAAAAAAGAGAAGCTCTAATTAGCACAATAAAGCAAAGTCTTAATCTCTTTCCAGTTCTAGAATTGTGTGCGGTGTAGAGAATGGCAGAATAGCAAATACCCAACACACCAAAACCGATCTTCAGCCTCCGAAGCAATGGCGCCAACGAGCAGTCAGCAACAGTGCAAATGCCTGCCTACTGGGCCCTAATAATAGCTAGACACCAGATTCTGACAGCCGGGCAAGGTAGGCTTAACTGTCATTTTGTAGATAAGCCCAAGAAGGATGAATGAGGCTAAATAACTCAATGTCATGCTGCTGGGACGCGGCAGACCCGACTACCGTTCCTGCTCCCTTCCACTCTTATCCTGCCTCCCATACTGCAAGCACTTAACTGTAAATAATGGCAAGGTATTTCAGAATCTTTAAAAAGATGGGAACAAGGCCTCTTTGATGACAAAGAGGCTGGCATCGTCACTCAACAACTGTCCTCAATTTGATGCTCCTGCATTCTCTGTCCCCAATGACCTGTCTAGCAACCGGTCCTCCCTCTCCAGCAACCAGCCACCTGGTAGGCCTCGCAGTGCCAGCGTCTTCATGCAGCCGCTTAGACACAGCTCGCTCAGCTAACTGCATGACTGCACTCCCCATCAGGCGTTCAAAATCCCACCACAGGGGTCTCTCTCTGGAAAGCAAGTTTCGCAAACTCTTGACACTTGACCGACACGGAATACCTAGGGCCGGGTTACCCTCTAGTGGAGCCCAAGAATCAAATCAAACAGAAGGAAAGGAGGTGACGCAACTAGGCCTCCTGCAGCATTAGAGCCGCAGGCTGGGCGCAGCAGCCGTGACCCCGCGTGGGCTTCCCACAGTGGCCGCCCACGCGTCCCGATGCCAGCCACGCAAGGGCGCAGGGCAGAATCCCCCGGGCGAAGCCCCCATGAAGGAACAGGAGGTGCCTGCTTTCCAGCGCGCTCGGGGGCCGGCGAGGCGAGGGCCTCTGGTACCCAGCTGCTCCTCCAGCTGACACCCGCGCCCAGCATCCGCGCACTCCTGCCGCACGCGCTGCGCGCCTCCCTGCGGCACACCGCGCCTCCTTCCCACGCCGCCACAGGCGAGAGGCCGGTGGCCGCCGGCAGAAGGAGCTCCTTACCCGTGCTAACTCCTCTGGCCGCTGCCCACTCGGAAGGCTTCCGCTGTGCGGGTCCCAACACGTAGTCCTCCACCTTCGGTCGAGAATCAATGGCCCGGCGCGGATTGGTGACATCACTGGCGCGCCGGCTTGGGAGGGAGGCTCACGTGATTCCTCCCTCTTTTGTTTAAATCCTAGGAAAATAAGGTTTGAATAGCACCAGCTTCTTTTATTGCCATCTGTGAAGGGCACTGTTGTGGGGAGCTAGGTACTTTGTGTAAGGATACTGCATTTTTGCTCAGGGCTTTGATTCTAACCAGTCATCCATAATGTGGTTTGGCTGGAAGGCCTGAGAATATGTATAGGTATGGCCACAAAACTAGCTGCTAATGTGCTATGATGTGAATGACTAATACGTTAAAAATAGCATAATGAACAGGCATTTAATAGTATCTGTGCTGATGCTATTGGTGTGGGAGGGCGCAGCCCATGGTGAAGAGCGCCTCCCTGAGTTGTATAAGAAAGCAGACTGAGCACAGGCAGGAAGGGAGTAAGCCAATAAGCGGTGTCCTCCTTGGTCTATGCTTCAGTTCCACCTCCAGGTCCCTGCCCTGCTTGAGCTCCTGCCTTGACTTCTCTCAGTGAGGAACTTATCTTCGAAGCTGTAAGCCAAATAAATTATTTCCTCCTCAAGATGGTTTTGGTCAGAATGTTTTATCACAGCAATAGAAAAGCAAGCTAGGACAGCATCCAACAGAGCTAAAATACTGCCAATGAATTTTTCCGCAGCTTGGGTACTATAATCACTAGTCTTTGGATGATCTGTTTAAGCAACTACATTTAAAAATAACATAATTGGCCTGGAGAGATGGTTCAGAGATTAAGAGCACTGGCTCCAGGGAGTCTGATGCCCTCTTCTGGCCTCTGTGGACATTACACAACACCGGTGCAGTTACATACATGCAGGCAAAACACTCATACACATAAAATAATAAATCAAGGGACTGGAAAGCTGGCTCAGCGGTTAAGAGCCCTGGCTGCTCTTGCAGAGGATCCAGGTTCAATTCCCAGCACCCACATGGTGGCTTACAGCTGTCCTTAACTCCAGTTCCAGGAGAGCTGACATCTTCTTCTGACCTCCATGGGCATTGCATGACAAAGGTGCACTTACATACATGCAGGCAATACACTCATACACATAAAAATAATAAATAGAATAAATCAATCAAGAATGTTTTTAAACAAAACGAACACATTTTCAACTTATCATCCCATGGAAGAACTAAATACTGCCAAGGAGCTTTTCATCAGTTTGTAGCAGTCGCTATTTTCTGTTGCCTCCCCTTCCATAGTAACACCCATCTTGAATTTGTATTTATACAGCCATTTCATGGCTTTAATTTCTTTTCACATGTCATTTGTAAGCATCACATTTATATTGGTTATGTGTCCTGGGACTTTTATTTTTAGAAATGTGCTAAGATTCATCTTTGTAAAGTTTCATCTTGCACATTTTCACTGCTACAGAGCAATCCATTGTGGACATGATCTATTTAGCCTGTCTCTAACTGGTTAACACACTCTCTAGTCTTCTGCTATTTCCAAGTGTGGTTATAAGCACTATGTTCTGGTGTCATTGTATAAAAATGTCTTGAGTTTTTTACTAGGCATAGAACTGGTAAATCTTTGTATGTCAGTGGTCCCTTTTGTAGCATAATGCCGCATTTTTACAGGCAGTCATTGTACAGTGTTATGGTGAAGTCTGTCGTGATTCTGTCATTGTCTCTGAATTTATGCGGTGCCAGCTGGACCCTAATTGCTGAATGTGAGTATGCAAAAATATGAAAAAAAAATAGGACCAATTAGAGAAACACTGTCAAGGTGGGAAGACCTCTGAGCTTACTGAAAGTTGCAAAAGTTCACAATAAACTCTGCAGGTGTCTGCCTCAGTGGTGGAGGGGAAACAGACACTTAGCCACTTAGCGCATAATAAAGTTTCCCTCTGCTCCTGGTTGCTGTGGTGATTTTGTAGGCTGCTTCCTGCTTCCCATGCTGCTGCTGTGTTAACAGCTACCCCAGGCAGTCTACTCTTTAAGGACTTGAACCTGCTGACTGTCAGAAAGCCCCATATTGGGGACACTGACCCCTAATAATAAGAGTCAAATGAAATCTCACCCTGGCCTTGTTGGCCTACCGTTAAACATCGTTTTTATTTACATACAGGTCATCTGTAATTCCTCTGCTATGAAATGGATTTCAGGGCTGAGCAAGGAAAAACGTGTGACCTGGAGGTGGCAGCACAGAAATTTAGGCCAGTTTTGCCTACAGGAGAGGTCCTTCCCTCCCACCATAAGATCCAGAGATCCTGGGAGAGAAGAGATCACCTAAAAGTTAAGGGAAGCAAGGAAACTTCTAGAAAGACTGTTTACCATGACTGTGTTCAGTAGCCTGTGGGCAAAATGCCTTGGGTTTTGGGTAACATTGGGTGGATTGTCCTTTTGATAAGAGATTTATTAGAGAAGTTATCAATACCTGAACAGACAACAGTGTGACAGGCTCTGGTGAGAGGTCAGGCCCCTGTGACAAAGTGGGAGTTCCTTATAGGTTTCAGAGGAAGGGGGATGTTTCATAGAGTCTAGTTGTCTCTGATTCCTGGGTGGGAGGGAGAGGGGAGGGAATTCCTCAGAAAGAATGTACCACTCTTTCTTGAGGATATGGGGAGGAAGGGCACATTTAGTTAAAATGTACCCATTATACACATGGGACCCTCTGATGTCCCAGGACTCTTAACAACCTGTTCTGTAAAGTTCTCTGAGAAGATGAGAATGATGTCTAGTATTTTCCTGGAGTCCTGACACTCGGAAGTCTGTTTACAGACACAGGCTCTCAGTAGGGTGTCTGCCTCTCCCTGCCGCAGGAGGGAGACCAGGATCAACTATGAGGATGGAGGTAGGGAGGCCTGCAGATGAGCATGACTTGAGCAATATCTAGTCTGGAATTTATCGTTTCTTTTCCTGGAGTCCTGGTACTGGTTATGGTACTCATGAGAATGTTACAGATCCACATACACACTCTCTATAGAGGACTTGCTGGTAGCTATGAGGCTGGGGAGAGACAGAAAGGCTGCTGCAGGCTCGTGTGGCCTGATTGGCCTGTAGTCTAGAACCTAAGAGTGGGAAGTTGGAGTCAGAATGTTCCAGGACATCAGCAAATCAGGGACTTGAAGGGCTGCAGAGTTTATTTTATCCATAACTAGCAGGTGTTTCTAGCAATTTCATCAGCTTGCCTGAGCATTGTTTAGGTGGCTCCCGGTGTTAAAGTGCTTGTCTAGCACTTGTGAGGGCTGAAGTTGTACCCTAGCATCACTAGAGTGAACTGACCAACTAACTAAACTTAGATGGGTACTTGAACCTAGTTCTTTGAACCGAGGAACTCAAGACCAGCTCCAGGCAACATAGCAAGACCTCATCTGTGCCTAAAACAAAATGAAATAAAGCCCTTCCTGACTGTGAACATTTGAAGCTGGTGCTATCGACAGTCTTTTGAGTTAATATATTCTAGTCTATTATAAGGAAGTACACAATCTAGAGGCCAATTATACTAAGCCCATCCTTGTCTTCTTTATATAGTGGTCATTCCTTATCTCTTGCCAATTGCTTTAGTGAATTGTTGGTAAATTTCTATATAATTTGGATAGATTCTTTGTCTTCTTTGTCAATTACATTTGTTGCATGTTTTCTCCCATTTGTGTGGTTTTTTTTTTTTGTCTTTTTGAGACAGTCTGCCTGTAGCCCCAGCTAGCCTAGAACTCACTATGTAGACCAGGTTGGCCTGCCTCTGCCTCCCAAGTGCTGGGATTAAAGGTGTGTACCACCATACCCAGCGTCTTTTCATTTTCTACTTTGATAAATAGATATTAATATTGAATTTTTATTTTTTCCTTTTTTTTAATGAGGGTAGGATCTCATGCAGCCCAGACTGGCTTCTGATCCTCCTCCACCTGGGATCATAGGCATGCACCACTACACCTGGTTTATGGGTGCTAGGGATCAAACCCAGGGACTTGTGCATTCTAGGCAAACATGCTCTCAACTGAGCTGCAGCCCCAGCTGTTGTTACCACCCCTCCCTTTTAACTTTGATTTGTGATATCATTCGTTGTTTAGAAGGGGTATGTACAAGTCCTAAGTGCCACTGAGCGCTTCTGAAGGTCAGAGGACAGCTCTTGCCAGTCAATTTTCTCCTGCCATCTTGTGGGATCCAGTGATTGAACTCAGGCCTACACTTGAACACCTCTACCCACCTCGCCATCTTGCTGGGCAGTATCAATGATTTTTGAAGATCTTCTACCAATACCACACTGCTTTACTTGCTGTAGGTTTACAATATTTTTCAATATGCCCCTTACTACTCCTGCCAATTGTCCTTTAGGACATGCCTGGTATTCTTTCGGTTTTCATTTAATATGAAACTTGTCAAAATGCATAATAAAAACCTGCCAAGATATAGTTGGGATTATATTGATTTTGTATATTAATTTAGGGAGACTCAATATACTTATAATATTGAGTAGTCAATTCAAGCTGCCAGTATTCAAATCCTGTCTCTTCTGGCACTCAATATACACAAACTACCCAGTCTGGTAATATTCCAAGCCTTTTTTAAAAAAAAATAAAACTGGAGCGACTGGAGTATAGCTCAGTGGTACAGTTCGTGCTTAGCATGGCCAAGGCCCTGAGTTTAGCTTCCAGCACCAAGCAAAGGATAGAAAAATAACAGGGGATAATAATAGCTCCTGTAATAGTTACTTTCCTCATTGCTGTGACAAAACACCTAACAAAGCTACTCAAGAAAGGAAAAATTTATTTTGGCTCGCAGTTTGAGGGCATAGTCTATCATGGCAGCAAGGTATGGCCACAGTAGTATGAGGCACCTGCAGTTAGGAGGCAGAGCAATGAACGCTGGCACTCAGCTCACTCTCTCCTTTTATTCAGTCTGGGACCCCAGCTCATGGTATGGTGGTGCTCACATTCAGGGACGGTTTCCCTTTCTCAGTTAATCCTTTTTGGAATTATCCTCATAGATGCAACCCATAGATGTGTTTCTATGATGATTCAACACC